CGGGCGACGGCGGCAGCAGAAGAAGCGACGCGGTCTGTTGGAGGAAGACAGATGACGGAGAAATTAAAACAGCGCGTTAATACTGCGTTGGATAAAGCCAAGAATGCCGCTACTGTGGCTGTCAATGCTTCGGGTGACGCGGAGGAGCTGCTGTCCCAGACCGAAACCGAAGCCAAACACGCAAAGGAAACAGAGGCCGTTGTGAGAGGGACCGTGTGGGCTGATGAAGATGAAATGCTGGTAATGGTGGAGCTGGTTGAAGATAATGTGGTAACGGCCGTGAAGGTCTCCTTGCAAGTGAAAGGAAGCATGGAGAAGGCAATAAACGCGGCGACAGCAGCTGAGAATGCCCAGAAGGACGTCGAGAAACTATTGCAGTCGGCTTCAACAGAAGCAGAGGTTGAGGGCTCACATACTGCAAACAGCACTGCTCCTTTGCCTGGGGCCGAAGGGGGCGTGGCCTCGTCTCCAGCGGCAGGCACAACTCACGACCCTCTTGCTGGGCCCAACAGCAGCGGAACTGATCGTCAGGATGGTAATGGCGCCACCGACGGCAGCGGCGACCATATGTGGGGGCGGGCCCAACTGCTGCGGCTACTGCTCCTTTCTGCGCTGATCTGCTGTGCCGTGTGTTGAGCACTGTGTGGTCGCCAGGAGGTGTTCTTCTGCTTGTGGATGTGGGTGTGTGAGAACGAATTCCTGGAATGTATTCTTTTTTTGTTTTTATCTTTCCGCCCTCCTCTACGGAGTCGAGCAAGGGCGCTGCGCCCCTGTTGTACTCTTTGACTCGTTTTTTTTTGTTCGTTTGTGGCGCGCGTGGCGTAGATGGTGGGCATTTGCGGTGAAGGCCGCTTCTCGCGTCCCCCAGCCACGACGGCACACGTCCCAACATACACGCAGGAGCATATGCATCTATCCTTTCCATAATGCTATACGTGCACATACACCCCGGCAGCTTAAGCCTTTGGCGGCCCGCTATACAACTCCTGTGTGTTCATTTGAATTTGCTTGGCGCAGGGGCGGCGCGTCAATTCCGTTAGTCGGCAAGTGGTCGCGATACCGCCCCAGTAATTCGTACATAATTAATCCCACGTGTTGAGCTTCGCTGGGTGGTGGTGGGGGTGTCGTGCTGCATCTCTGCGCTGTTGTGGTGCGCGTTTTCTCTGTGTGCGTCTGCGATGTGTTCCGTGTCTTTTCTCACCTTGCGAAGAGAAGGCGTGCTCAAGCAATTGCAATGACGGTGCGGAGTGTGCCTCTGGCACCCGCTGGTTCTCACTCCGTGCTCTGTTTCTTATTGTGTGACAGCTGGCGCTGCTGCTGTTGAGAAGGCGGCAGCGAAGGTGGAGGAGGATGCCTGCAGTGCTACGGGATCACACGTTGGGGGCGCATTGAGAGTCACTCGTGGAGCTGCTGGTAAGGCTTCGCGAGCGGAGTGTCAAGCGTTGAGTGTGGCCAATCGCACTGGAAAGGCCAAGCTGCACCGCAAAGTATAGCCGGTGCGGCAGTTACGAGTCTCCGCAGCGCTTTCGAGGAGACCCAAACGGTGGCGGGGGCGTCAGACGAATAAACGGCGCTCTCCGGCGTGGTGGCTCTCACTGGTGCTGCCAAGTGTGCGTAAGCTGCGGAGGATAGAGCCAACAGGACCTCTGCTGATGTTTTGAATGCTGAGCTGCAACTCAGGGGAGCTGACGCGCCTACGAAACAAAAATCCGTGGCTCAAGCAGAGGCAGCCAAGAAGACGGAATTAGTGAGGAAGGTCATCAGGGATGTAAGGGCAGGCGCTCGCCTGATGCCAATCAATGCCAATGATCCGCAGAATGGCGCTGTGGGTGCGGGTGGAAAAAGAAGTGGCATGTGTTGAAGCCTCAGCGAACGATACACCAGCTGCCGCGAAGGAAAGAGGAACCGGGGCAGGAGCCAAGCAGGATGACTCGGTGGAAAGAGAGGGGAAGCCTGCAAAATCTTGATACCGCCCCGGAGGACCGTCAGCAGATTGTGCGGTCTACAGAGAAGGCGTCAAAAGTCTCTCAATGAAATGTTGACTTGGATACTAAGGCCCACAGAGCTGCCGATGCTGCACTAGGCAGTGTGCAAAGGCGTTGTGGCAATTCTCAAGTGGAGTGGAGGTGATTCGTCAGTGTGTTGGCGGGCAAACATGAAACCGCTGCCTCATTGCGCCAGGAGAGCATCATTCCCAATGCTGTGTCCCCAACCGTTGGCTCTTCAGCTCATTTGCTATCACAACTTGGTGATCTCAGGAACCTGCGGGTGCTGCAGGTCCACGTGGCTGTGTGGTAAGACGTGTGTGTGTGTNTGACGCCGATCACACTGCCCCCACAGCCACACCTCAATCAGAGACCACCACCGAGGAGGCTCCCAAAACTGATGCCGGTATGTCCACCTCTGCGGGAGAGGGCGCTGTAACCAACGCGTCACCTGCGCCCAACAGTATCTCTCTGAGTGGCGTGAACCTTCCTGACCATAACACCGACGCCAGCAGCAGCAGCACTGCGTGGGTGCGTGCCCCACTGTTGTTGCTGCTTGCCTGCGTGGCCGTGTGGTAAGATGTCTGTGTGTGTATGTGTGCAGGGGGCGACGATGGCCTCGTAATAATTGCGTTGAGTCCCGAGGGCTGCGTTCTTCATTATAAAGAATCCTTTTGTTTTCATTTCATTGCTGCCCCGTTGTGGGCTGGGCGCTGTTTAATTCACCCGCGACTGCACTCACTTGTGCTGTGTGTGTGTTGTCCGGGAGGCGTCTG